TATAAATGTAATAGAATACATGGTGTTATATGTAACAGTTACATTGTGCAAAATCGAGTGCAAAATTATAACATATAATTTACTTTTTATAGACCAACTAGTGTATATTTTTAAAATTTGAAGAGACATGTATATGTTATAATTTTGGCGAAAGCAAGAAAGAGAGTTCTAAGTGCAGTCTATAATAGTGCAGGAATAAACAACAGTAAACCTCACTTTTTGTTGGTATCTACTTGATATCTTCTTCTGTTTTTTAACTATGGCTTTTCAAAAGTTCGATGACGATCTTATATAAAAAGTGAATAAGTAACATTAAAGCTTCCTGCACTTCACCTGTCACGCGCACGCTCGACAATATACACCTGCTACGTAATTGTGCTTCTTCCCGGCACCATCTGCTTCTCCAAGGTTTCAATATTCGATTGGCAGATGCGGATTAAGGTGAATTAAAATGCGGTAATCGAGAGCACACATGCATGATTATGATATATATTTATTTATTTTCAACTTCGTTAACTTCACACTTGTAAAGTTTTTGGTAGATTTAAAAAATCTGGAGATATTTTTCAGGAAAACAATACCGAGTGGGACATGAAATCGATTTTATTGTCATTTCTGACTGGGGCAGAAGTGTCAAGATTATTTGAAAAATTATTTGTACAGATGAAAACATATCCAAGATATTTTTGTTGATGTAATTTTGTTTAAAGCTGTGTACGTAAATAAGCGCACTCTAATAATAGTTCTGATATGCTATTCAAGTCTCGTGCATTCTTTCGCGTGAGTAATACGTGTCAGCATGCACAATGCATGTATTGTTAAAACATTGGGGAATTCCATCTATTTTTGGCAATGTAGAAAATTCTTGAAAAGTTGAGAGATACCCAGCAAACGAGAATGGATTGAAATGAATTGAAATGGATTCAGATTTTCAGAAATATTGATTCACGAATGTTAAAATGAATGCTTTTCAATTCTGAATTTTTATTCATTTATAGGAATTGCATGGAGCATATTTCTATGCCTTTCAATATAAAAATAATATTAGCTTTTTCTGTCCATTGTGAATACTGTTTAATTCAAAATTTTGAATAGGAAATGCAGTTTTTCAATTGTATCCAACTGAATCTAATTGAATCCAATTGAATCTAATTAAATCCGAAAAAGTATTCATTATTTAAAATATGTATTCAGATAGAAAGAAATTTTAATCCATTCTCATTTGCTGAGTATAAATAGAACTCATGATTATCAATAGTCTGTGAAATCACTAGCAAATTTAACGATTATAGACACAAACTAATAACAATAAAAGTATTACAATAATATTATTATACAGAAAGTGGTTTATTAATTACATTCTTCAAATTTTTTAATTTAAATTTTTAGAAATAAATATAACTGATTGCATAAGATGCGAATATACAAACATTTAAGATATATTTAATTTCAAAAATAAGTATTTC